AAGGACTGTCTTACCAGTTCTTTTCAAACATCTCCAGGGACAAAATTACCAGGGAGTCTGTGGAAAGGTTCCCTCAGAGGTGAAAATGCATCAATTCATTCTGCTTTTTGAAAGGTCTCAGGCTTATAGGATGTCTTGCTGAGAAACGTCGTCTTCCTCCCTGGGCTAAAGGAGACCCTCCTGCTTCTTCTTGGCTCTGATCAGTGGGCCCCTTTTATCTCAAGAGATCCCTGGAGGCAGGTAGGTCCGGAGATTGCTTGGGTTAGAATCTGCTGATGTTTCTACAGGAAGGCCCTGTGCCGTCCTGCCCTCACTGAGCAGTGAGCCAAGTCCTGGGGCTTTCGGGCACTTGGGAGCCTCTCTCTCCAGCAACAGGCAACACAGAAGGAAGGATTGCTGGAGGTGAGGGTCTGTGGCGGGTGGACTTTCTCCCAGGGTGTTCACGGGAAGAGGGAGCTGATGACTAGCTCATTTCTCTTCGTTTCCTCGGCACAGGTCCCTGTGCTCAAGCAGGGTGAGCTTTTAAGGAGGTGAAATTCAAGGATAATGACTGCAGAGCGAAATATTAGCTAAAAAACAGTTTCTTCTTTTTCATCTGGCAGTTGAGTCAGGTGGTAGGAAAATTTACCCAGATGTGTATGTATTTTCTGTTCGAGTTTAAACCACATGGTTTCCCAATCAGAAAGGCCCATGGACTTTATTCCTAAGGCTCCATGATCAAGCCACCTCCTAAATGTATCTGTCACCCATCAGAGGCTACAGTTGACTCAGAGAGCACCCGGCTTAGCAGACTCACATCCAGGAACAACTTGGAGAGACCGGACAGTCATTTTTGGCCAATTCTTGGATTTTGGTGGGTAGTTACATGACATCACCGGTTCAAGACTTAGCTAGATCATAAGAGAGAAGACCTATCTAAAAGATTCCCGGGAAACACTGAGCCTCCTAAAGAACTTTTTTTTAATCCTCACCCATCCCTCCAACCCCCACTCCCATCTGCTTTCTCAGAGACCAAAATTCACTCGTGGATAAACACAGTCAAACCCAGGCATGTAATCTCCAATGAAACCACTCCCATAAGCAAGCAAACCCCATGGCTGGTAGACCCCTTGGGCCTTTTGGCATTGACACTGTTCCCCTCCCCTCCCCTTCCCAGTCACCCCAGCTTGGAATTACATGCCAATTTCCCTTCCTGGCAAGGCCTGGACAGATAAAAATGGAGATCAGCATCAAGCCAGGTACTTGATAGCACCAGACTGTGCCTGGCACTGCAGCGAACTGAGACTGTGTCTGAAATAGTTTTCCAATCTGGCCTTCAGTGCCCGAAGGGACAGGAGTGCCAGAAAGTGGTGAGTGACTGGAGGTGTGTCTGCCGGATGCCCAAATCCACACTGCTCCATTCTTTCCATTCACTCTCTGTCTCCCCCTAACAAAGCACTGCATCTCTTTCTAATGAGAACTAAGATGGCGTTTGGCCTTGGCCTTGGAGTTACTGACAAAGAGGTGAGTGGACGAGGACAGGGTGTTGCACGTGTCTAACGCAGCCTAGGAGATATTTTGATATTGGCAAAAGGGGCCAGTGACAATCCCACAGACAGGTTCGTTCTCCCGCACCGACCCCAAATACACTGAACCCAGCCCAGGCCCGAAGGGCTGAGAGCTTGACCGTTTCTCTCATTTCTGCTTGCAGGTTCCTGCCTCATCAGATGGGGGTGGTGCCGACCTTCATCAAAGACAGCAGGCTGGGGTTCCAATGATGCCAGCAAGATGCGGCCTGATAAAAACAGAAGTTTCTGGAGGTGACGTGGAAAAGGAGTCCGTGAAGCTGCAGTCCTTGGGGAGATGGTGAGTCTTTCTGCAGCAGTGATGGGGCAAGACGGCCAAGTTCAGGATCGGCTGAGGCGCTTGGCTACATCCGCATAGGCCAACTCAATCTCACTGTCAGCCGCGCAGGTGTTGGTGAACTCGTCCCGGGCGTAGGCGTTCTTAAGGTACCGCCACAAGCCCGTCATCTCAGCCGGGAAATCGTAGTTGCGGTATTTCTTGGCCACAGTCTACAACAGAGATGGCAGGATGGAGATTAAAGTGTGAAACAAACCACTGGGAAGGTGTTAGTGGTGTGACCGAGTGTGTGCACAGCGGGAAGACCCTCCATGCATCGCCAGGGGCCAGCAGCAAGATGCTTGTCATACAAGGTGGCAGTGCTGCCTTTTTAATGCAATTTATTTTATTTTATTTTATTTTATATTTTATTTATTTTTATTTTATTGTATTTTCTCAAGCAAATATAATTTGCCCTTTGACTTAGTAATTCTGCTTCCAGGGATTTTTTTCCTTAGGAAATACCATGGGTGTACAAGAAGATTTAGCTACACACATGGGACCGTAGGACTATTTGGAATAGCAAAAAATGATTATCCAACACAAATGTCCAGCAACACGTGAATGGATAAATACATTATCATACATATCTGGAGAGCCATGAAAAATGACACTGCAGAAGAAATCCCAGTGACTTGGAAAACGCTTCAAGAGAGGCCGTTAAGTTTGAAGTGTAGTATAAGGCATTTGGAGAAATATGTAGGATGACTAGAAGTATATACACCAATCTATTACCAGTGGTTATGTCTGCTTGATAGAATTATAGACAACCTTTTTTTTTCTTTTTTCCCCATCCACTTTGCTTTACTAAGCATCCTTATTTACAGAAGAGAATACAAAGCATAAAACGTAAGTTAGGTATAGGAATGTATATGGAGGTTCAGGGTATGTGGGAGTGAACAGACAGTGATTTCTGTTCTCTCCTTAGTTTACCACACTCGGGGCTGTGGACTTGGGCGTTCTGGGGAAGTGGTGTTTGTGTTGAGAGACACAGTAGCATAGTGGTTAAAAACGTGGACTCTGGATCCCAGCTGACTGGATCTGCAATCCTGACCACACTACTTGACAGCTGTGTGACCTTGGACTAGTTACTTAACTTCTCTGAGCCCCAAATTCTTTTCCTCTAAAATGGAGGTAATAAGACGAGCTACCTTAGAGTAATAAATCAGTTAATACACATAAAATGATTGGGGGTGTGGGGGGGCTGGCTCATACTAAGTGCTCATTAAAGATTACCTGTTGTCAGAATTCACTGAGACCCACCTTTTGCCCATTGCATGCATTCCTTCCTAGGTAGGGGCTGCGTGGTCTCTTTAATAAGGTCTCTCTAGCCAGGGAGGGCTTCAAAGACGTGAGACCTGCGAGTCACAGGGGGTCTCACACTCAGAAGGGCCCTGCTCTTGGTTTAACACTCTGCTGTCAACATCTGGAAACTGAAGACTTTTTTAACGGGCACCCTTTTAGTTTCGCTGGGCACTGGGGCCTGCACATTGGTTAGCCTTGCCTCTACCCCTCGCGAACTGGGGAGGAGAGAGCAAAGAGTAGCCTCTCTCCTACACCACTGACTTCTGACTCCTTTCCTTGCTTTCTTTTTAAAGAGGTCACCAGATCACTGGCCCAGAGATCCTCCCACACAGGGAACCCCCCAGACCAGCCACTCCAGGCTTTCATCTTCATCTGGGCACCAGTGTTGTGCAGGGCTCCCCAGAAAGCAGTTCTGAGTGAGGGACACCGATGACCTATTGTGTCAACAGCTCAGTCACATAGGCACGACCACGTTCCAGGGAGGATGCATTTCCCCGCTCCGATCTCCCACATCGTTTTTTTTTTTTTTTTCTTTTTTGTTACGGGGGCCTTTCCCTGTTGTGGCCTCTGCCGCTGCTGAGCACAGGCTCCGGACGCGCAGGCTCAGCGGCCATGGCTCACGGGCCCAGCCGCTCCGCGGCACGTGGGATCTTCCCGGACCGGGGCACGAACCCGTGTCCCCTGCATCGGCAGGCGGACTCTCAACCACTGCGCCACCAGGGAAGGCCTCCCACATCGGTTTTGAACTTCCATTACGGCCCTAAGCTCTATTCTACTCCGAATCACAGTCAGTTCATATCCTCCCTCTCTTCCCTAGCTTGTGAGCAGTATGAGGACAGGAACCACAGCTTCTTCATTTCTGTCTCCCTTGATAACCTCAATAATGCTGTTGATAAGAGTAACAACAGCAAACATCTATTCCCTCTGTGCTCTGCACCAGGCACTGCCTTAAGCACTTGGCAAGCTACTGAAATCTCTAAATAACACTACAAGGAAGAGTGTGTTATATTCCCATTTTACAGATGAGAAAAATAAGTCAGAGAGCGGTTAAACAAGCAGGGAGGGATTCAATAAAAAGTTGTATTTAATCTTTACCATCTTGTTATCCGAACATCAGACAGAGTGCATCTAGTGTCAAACATATATGATCACTTAACTTTAAAGCCTGCAGATCCTTTGCAATGAGCAAACTGGAGTCACAAGAGATTTAGTGGTTTATACAATATTACACAGGAAAATAATTCAACCAGTATCTGTTATCTATAATTTTCTATTAATCACTAATATTTATTACAGTCTCTGCTGTCTAATCCAATTCTTTCCACTTTGCCACTCAGCCTTATGTAGATGATAAAGGAATAGCTCTACTCAGAATCCCTCCTGTGCCAGTTATTCAGCTACTGTTGCTTTATCTCCAGACCTACCGGTGTAGCTGTACCAGCTTCTTGGTGATGCTGGGACTGGGACTGCAAACCTTACCTCTGCTTTGCCAGCAACTCCCCTGAGGCTCTGACAACAGGGGGTGCTAGAGAGAGGCTGCACGACTGGAGGAGGGAGCAGGGACTGGCCCCTTCCTGTGGGTTTCCTGTTCCTATGAGAGTCTCCTTTTCTCCAGTAGTGGCAGCTGAATCCAGTTTGCCATTCTGCAAACGCTCACAGGACCCATGTCCTCACACCAGCTCAGAGAGGCCGGCACACAACAGTGAGCCCACCACTGAGCCTGAGTCCCAGCCCCACAGGCCTCTCTGAACTCAGTCCTCAGCCCCAGCTAAGCAGCACCCCACCTTGGAGGTCCAAGGTGTAGCTCTGTGGGACCCCTCATGGAGTTCTAGGGTTTTTTAATTTATTTTGTTGAAGTGTAGTTGATTTACAATGTCGTGTTGATTTCTGCTGTACAGCAAAGTGGTTCAGTTATACATATATATTACACATTCTTTTTCATGTTCTTTTCCATTATGGTTTGTCCCAGGATATTGAATAGAGTTCTCTGTGCTGTACAGTAGGACCTTGTTGCTTATCCAGTCTATGTACACTATTTTGCATTTGCTCATCCCAAACTCCCAGTCCGTCCCTCCCCCACCCCTGCCTTTGGCAACCACACATCTGTTCTCTCTGTCTGTGACTCTGTTTCGTAGATAAGTTCATCTGGGTCATATTTTAGATTCCACATATAAGGGATATCATATGGCATTCGTCTTTCTCTTTCTGACTTGCTTCACTTAGTATGATCATCTCTAGGTCCATCCATATTGCTGCAAATGGCATTGTTTCATTCTTTTTTATGGCTGAGTAGTATTCCATCGCATATATATATGTACATATATGTATACACACACATATATATATATTACATCTTCTTTATCCATTCATCTGTCAATGGACATTTAGGTTGTTTCCATGTCTTGGCTATTGTACAGTTCAAGTTTGGATCATCCCAACCTTTTCCCTCTGCCCTGCTGCCCTGAAGGAGGAACCTCAAGGGACATTTTGGCTTCCTAGTTCTTAGTACTTAGTATTTCTTCATATGAAATTATCTTGGTTAAAATAACTGGTTTGGGGTGGTCACTACAGAAGCCACCTGGCAATGTGTGTCTAGTGTAGGTGTGGCCGATAACACAGGTGATGGAATCAGGGTCCTTCGACAGAACCCTCTGCTCACTGCAAGACGGCGGCTCCTTGGGTTTGCTCGTGAGCCTTTAGAAAAGGCTGTCTTGGGTAATGAGAAAATCCATGCAGGGGTGGAGGCTCCACCAAGGGAAGCAGCTGGAAATTCCCAGAGTGAATGAAAAAGGCCCACACAATGTAAAGTGATGCAGTCCCTGTGGAAAACAGTACGAAGTTTTTGCAAAAAAATAGAACTAGAACCACTGTATGATCCAGTAATTCCACTCCTGTTTATACCCTAAAATAACGAGGACAGTATTTCAAAAAGATACATGCACCCCAGTGTTCATAGCAGCACTATTTACAATAGCCAAGACATGGAAGCAACCCAAGTGCCCATCAACAGATGAATGGATAAAGAAGATGTGGTCTATATACAATGGAATATTACTCAGCCTTAAAAAAGAATGAAATAATGCTATTTGCAGCAACATGGATGGCCTTGGAGGGCATTATGCTAAATGGAAGAAGTCATACAGAGAGAGACAAATCATGCACGTTATCATTTATACGTGGAATCTAAAAAAGAGAACAAACTAGTGAATCTAACAGAAACAGATTCATAGATACAGAGAACAGACTAGTGGTTACCAGAGGGAAGGAGCAAAATGGGGGCTAGGAGAACAAGAGGCACAAACTACCATGTATAAAATAAGCTACAAAGATGTACAACATGGGGAATATAGCCAGTATGTTATAGTTAACTGTAAGTGGAGTATAACCTTTAAAAATCATGAATCCCTATGTTGTGCACCTGTGACTTATATTGTACATGAGCTATACTTCAATTTAAAAAATGGAAAAGAACAGAAAGAAAAAGGCCCACAATAAAGTCAAGGCATCGATCAAAAAATATTTTTCAAAATTATAAACTGATCCATGGGGCAGCCTCAAGTCTCCACGTGCTGGAATGCATTTTCAAGTTTTTAAAGGATATATATAATATGAGCTTGAAAACGGCAGAGATGCAACTTATGAATATATATTTGTATTTATATATAGAGCTCCCTTCCTGTTTGCTTCAGCAGCTGAACAGGTCCCTGTGCCACGTGAGGGTCCAGGGGCCGAGGGTCCCAGGGGCAGCCACAAGAGTCCCGTGTGTCCCTCCCTGCCCAGACGGACCATGACCTTGGCCAGAGCTGGTTCTTTCCTCACACGTTGGCTTGTGTGGGGAGATGAGAATAGAAGGCAGCCAGGCAACGAAAGTTCAAACCAGGCTGTCCATGAGCAGCGGGGCCAGAGCAACTCAGCCTCCAAGGATGCAGACAAACTGAAGGAGAGCCAATGAAAGAGAGAGGGAGAGGATGCGCACGGCAGAAGCTCTGACGTCCGCAGGAACGTCCATGCTCATGTTCTGAATTTGCTTTCATATGAAAACACTTAGCTCCCCCAGCCCAGATTAAGTCTTGGCGTCTGAAGCCAAAATGGAGGTCTGACTTGGCTGCCCCTTCGCGCTTTCCACACTTCAGAGGTTTGCCAGGGCTCTGGGATCTGATAAGCTGGGTCAGCAGAAATCCAAGAAGACGGGAGGTGAGGCCCAGCCTTTGTCCCCTCGCAGGCCATCCTCCCTCTGATCCCCAGCTCCTCCAAGTAAATGACACACTGAACTTCATCCCAGGACAGGAGTGTAACTTAGTCGTCCAGGGCTGGAAGGAACTGGAGAAACCAGAGGATGAAGCATGAGGCCTGGAAGATCCATCTGTTCACCTGATCAGACACGTGATTCTTGAGTGGGTGGTCAACCCACGTGTGAGTGACAGGAGGAGGGACGGAAGTGAGGGGAAGAGGAGAGAAGGAATGTAATCCACATCTCTTCTTTTGGGCCTGAGAGAAATGATTCCCCCAAAGAGTAAAAGGCCTGGCCCAACTCCTGCTGGACCAGAACTTGGGTCTCCGGACTTCCAGAACAGGGTTCTTTCCATTACCTCACTCTGACAGTGTGACTGATAGAATCATATCACCCCTAATGGTGCCACCTGTTCCTCAGGAAATGAGAATAAAAGATGTTTTGGAGGTGGGGTGGGCCTGCAGTAATTAATAACTTCAAAGACATAGCTTGGCTGGACCTACCAGTGACCATTGGCTTGGCCCAAATCCAAAGTGTCTTCCTATTAATAGACTGAATTTGCTCTGCCCATCAGCCCTGGCAAGCATGATTCTCTCCCAGCCTCCAGCCCTGACGTGTCCCGCAGGAGCACCGGTGTGTGCACAGCTAACATTTCAACTCAAGCTGGCGTGCGTCCTGATTGGAGGGCTCTGATTTCCAGCTCAGGACATCAGCTGAAAACCAGTAGGCAGATATCCAGCTGATAAATGATTGAATCGGGTTCTCCTTAGTGACAGATGGAAAGAAACTGGGGATCACAAGCTAGGTGATCAAATGGTCAGTCAATGAGTATTTATTAAAGGGCCACCACACCCACCATCATGCTTGGAGAAGACCTGCCCTCGCAGAGCTTTTTGTCTGAGACAATAAGATATTAACACATGTAAAAGTAGAGAGCAGTCTAGCTCTACGATCACACTGTAATTTTCTCTGGTCTGGTGAGGGTCAGAAAAGGATGTGATAGAAAACGAACTATGGTTACCAATGGGGATAGTTGGGGGGCGAGGGGTGGAGATAAATTAGGAGTTTGGGATTAACATATACACACTACTATATATAACATAGATAGACAACAACAGTATAGCACATGGAACTATACTCAATATCTCGTAATAACCTATAATGGAAAAGAATCTGAAAAAGAATATATATATATAACTGAATCACTTTGCTGAACACCTGGAACTAACACAACATTGTAAATCAACTATACTCCAAGAAAGATGATTTTAAAACAAATAAAATGGTTAAAAAAATGAAAAACAAGGATGTGAGAAGAAGCATTTGTGTAGAGAAATGTGGGAGACACAACTGCTGTCTTCAAATGAGATGAAGAGAGCAGCCCTGTTTCATGTTGCTCCAGAGAACCAAGGGAGCAGGGAGGCACATTTGGGCTCCATATAAAGAAGCATGGTTTAATAACTGGAACCGTCCAAAATAGTAGGGCTGGCTCGGTAGGCAGAGGGCTCTTCATCATCAGAAATGTGCAGTCACAGCTGCACAGAAGCCTGTCACAGACACACAGGAAGGGGTCCACTTTGGGGTGGGAGATTAGGGTGACCTCAGAATTTCCCCCTTCTTTCCAATTCTCAGATCCTAAGGCTGGTATAGGAAAGGATTACACTGCAGGTTAACCGTGATCAGTAAGTGCAGCAGTAGCAAGAAAATCCAGCTCTTCAACTGGTAGACGAGGAAGATGGCTGCCTGCCCCAGAGAGTGGCTACAGGGAATCAGAAGGTGCATCTGCCCACAAAGAAAACATGCATACGAGGGCACGCTTAATAGAGATGTCGGGGTGGAGGTGTGGCCAGCGAAAACCTATGAGGAAGAGGTAAGGAAGAGGCCTGTGGAGTGACAGGACTATATATAACTATATATAACAGGACAATAATAGCAACTATTATCTATTGGGCCCTTACAATATGGCAGGAACATTCAGGCCACAGTTAGTCTCCCAACAGCCCTAGTTAAACAATACATGCCTATGTTACAGGTGTAACCTGGAGCTCAGAGAGGCTATACAGCCAGCACGCTGCGGAGGCTGACCTGGGGTCCCGGTTCGCATGACTTCTGAGCTCTGACGCTCCATCAGCAGGCGGCACTGCCCTCGCCTCACCTCCACAGGTGACCTGCCCCTTTGATGGAGCTGGATCTGGGGAGCACCTGCGGATAGATTGAGCGTTTTTACCTTGACCACATGGAGCTTGGGCAGCAGGTTGCAGTCGGCCAGGGTCAGCTCGTCTCCATCCAGGAACTTGCGCCGGGAGCCCTTGCCATCGTCCCCGCAAGTGTTGGAGTCGATCTCCTCTGGCAGAGGGGTGTTCAGGTAGTCATCCAGTTTCTTCAGTGCCTTGGTCAGGCCTCGCTCAAGGGCTGGCGTGGAACAGCAAAAGAAGTGTCTTTAGTCAACCTGCCTGCCGCTGGAGAGAGCCACGGGGTCTTCAGAGCAAAGGAGCTTATCCAGAATCCTGTCCTCCTCATCATACCGGCTCCCCCCATACTACAGAGTACTTGACAGCCAGGCACACGATGCCATAGAAGAGTATTAAACAGCGTGAAAAAGCAAACCTTAACCAAACAATAAACATTTGCTAATCATTTTTTTTGGGGGAAAAGATCATATAAATACAGAAATACAACCATCAGGATATCTGTCAAAGCTTGTACAGTTCCTCTCCAACAGACGCAAAAATAATTGTCACTTTTCACTTTCTTCTTTTGCTCATCAACCCACAATCAACCCGCAATATTCCGCAATCAACCCGCATAATAATTTTGTAGAAAGAAAGAACTATTAAATAAGTAAATAACAACTGCGTAGAGGTCCTAGGACAGAGACAGCCACCAGATTTGGGGGCAGCCTTAGCTATGGCTAAGCCAACCTCAGGAGTGGTGTGAAGGCTTCCAGGAAGACATGACATACGACAGTGAGCACCCGTGCCCGGGGCTGCCCCCAGCGAACCAGCGGGGATCAAGGAGGCATCCTTGAGTTTAATCTAGAGGGGTTGTTCTAAAAAATCAGAGCGGTCCGAAATGGAATGGCCAACGCACCAGGCAGCAGGCTCCACCAGAAATGCGCAACCCTGCCTGCATGGAAACCTGTCATGGATACACAGCTCAAAGAGTGAAAATCCGAGGGAAGACAATGTGGCAGATTTTTCCAGTCTTGCCCCACTGATTATCTATCAAATAATTCACTTACGTATAAGAACAGAACAAAATACTCAAAAGAGCAGCTATAGAAAATCACTATCACTCAGAGTCATTCCACCCGAAATCTCAGCAACCACTCCAGTCAGAGAACCCTAACCTAGAACCTGTCCACCTGAGCGCTGGAAGAGATGGCTGGCCAGGTCATTGGCCAATGCACCTGTCATCAGCCCACCCCGCCCCCCATGACTGTTTTTTCCAGGCTCTGGTTTAGACATTGACACGGAGATGGTGGGAATCAGGCTGGATGTTAATTTCAGCAGCTAAAAGGAGGGAGCTGCCTCTGGAGGAAGAGCCAGAGGACTGTGCTCTCGCTCAGATTTTCCCCAAATGTGCCTTCTGTTAGCTCCTCCTCGCATAACCCGTGTTTGTCTTTTCATAGAAAGACTTTGTCTGAGACAATGAAACGACACCAGCCCAAGATACATCAACTGAACGCTTACTGGAACATGTGAAAACAGGCTGGAGGTTGGATGTGGTTTCTTAACACTTCCTTCACCCTCTGGCATTTGAACTTGGACTTCATCATCTGCTTTGTGCTTCCAGTTTGGGAGAATAGAGTGAGTGGGGCTGGGAGAAATGCTTGTATTTCCCTTAGTAATTGTCTAGACTGGGATGGGACTGCAAGCCTCTTCAAGAGCACCGGCAGAGGGTGCCAACAATACTTAGCACCGCAGCTCACCCCCGCCGGAAGCAGCTGTGACTTGTATTGGGTCTGTTTGCTTCCACAAGTCCCGCTACCCCTTTCAGTTATGGAGATGATGACAAAATCTTGATTCTAATGGAGAAAGGGAAAATCAGATAGAATGCCTGCTGAAATTTGATGAGCTGATATCACCCGAGGGAAAG